TCTAACCTAAATCCCCAACAGCATCCCTCTAGCTTCTTCCATGTGATTCTGTTTCATCATCCACCCTGGAGCCTGATGCCGCTGCTCAGCAGGAGCGCCCAGGTCACAGCTGGATGCCAAAGGACAACCTTTATATGTTGACTTTCTGCACAGTTGGCTTTAAGCACCTAGGGGCTCTCTCCTCCCTTTCATGCAGCACCAAGCACCTCGCCAGCATCCTCAAGCAGTGACAGCACGGCCACCTCTTTACAGAGACAGGTGCCTGAACGCTGTCATCTATAACAAATGCAGAAGCTAAAAGGCTTCTGTCACGCAGGGAGATTAATGCTCTGAGCTCCCAATAAAGCCAAAGAGAACAGAGTGTACTCCAGCAAGGCACAAAGTACTTCTCACAACCAAGCCTTTTCTGACTTGTCCAACACGAGAGAAAGGCCAGTATTAATACTCAACTTTTGTCTCTCAGACACAGAGAGCTGTCAGGCTACTGCTTCATTATGCTAACAAGATGGCAGCTGTGTCTAATTATTAATTCATTTAAAGATATGTTTCGAGACCATTGACTTGAAAGCAGCGTACTGCTGCTTATTACGTGCTGCAGAGACCAGAAATGCTTTCCTACTACCTTTCATCTTCCTTTCTGCAGCTCTGGCCATGGCCCATGTTCCCAGGGCATGCGGGGAGGCAGAGCCCTTGTGCCTGACTGCCCTGAGACGAGTTTCTCATGTTGCTGGAGCTTCTTGCTGCTGCAACACCAGAGGCAGCTCTGCTGCAGCCAGCCCCAACCCATCATGACGAAACGGTCAGCAAAGCCCTGCCTGCTCAGACATCCTTCTCCCAGCCCGTCCCGGCAGGCTCTCTGGGGACCCTGCCTACTTTCAGCTTGGTGCTCCCTGTGGCTGGGGCAGCACCAGGGGAGCCTCACAGCCTGCCAGCCTCACAGCCAAATCCCACACACTGCTGACTTCAAACGGGGCTGATCAAAGGGAGCAGGAGCTGGTTTGGTAGGGGAAGGAGCATGTAAATACTCTGCAGCACTTCCTTGCCAGCAAGGCTTCCACCACCAGTGGGGAGCTACTGGGAAAACTATGACAGGCCCTGCGGAAAAAAGACCCAGTAGCCCCAAGGAAGGGAAGCCAGCGTGGTTTCTACCAGGGTTGCTTGACCACAGTTTGCATCAGTGATGAGATCCTGGTTCTGGAATCCCAAAATAACCAACACACAATTAAGTGAAATTTGGTTTACACACAGCCTTGCGAACAGGCGAATGTCTGCCTCTGTTCAACGTGTGGCAAATCTTAGGTTTCAGGAGCTTTACAGACTGCAAATTCAAACACAGAATAATCCTTAAAATCCTGCCCCCCTCTTTTCTCTAAGCAGACAGTACAGCTGCCCACAACCTCCCACTCTCCTCCGGCTTCTGCAACACAACCTAAATCTGTACTTCATGCGGCAAGAGGGATAGTGGATTCCCACGTACCTAGGCGTGTGTGTCACCAGCAAGCAGCCAGCAAATTGGCATATTAAGGCAATGCCCCAAGGGTCAATCTGAGACCTGATGGATCTACAATCCAAAGCTGACAGCTCCTCCTAGCTGGTGCAAACAGACCTGCCACCGCTCTGCACTGCCCACAACCCCATTCAGCACGTGCCAAGCACCAAGTGAGCCAGGCAGTGGTAGCACATGTTTAAATAACTTATTCAAATAACCTATTAAACACTGCTG